CTTGCTCGCGTGGCGATCGAGCGCCCGCCTGAGCATGTCGTCGGGCGTGCGGCCCGCATGCTCACGAGCCTCAGCCTCCGCCAGCTGACGGCGAGCGCTAACCAGCAACTCGTTGTCTTCAGCCAACTGCAGGCGTCGTAAGGCGGCGAAGGCCCTGCGCGCCTTGGCGACGTCGTCGCCCTCGGCAGGTTGAGCCCCTGCGGCGGCGTCTGGGCCCGTGCCTCGGCGCCCAAGGGAGGTGCTGCGAGCTCGTCGACCCTAACCTTGAGGAACCGCTCCAGTCGGGTCTGGCCTGCCCTGCTTGTCCCGCCCGCACATGTAGCACCTCTCGTTGGTGCTGAAGTTGCGGGCGAAACCACACTGCCTGGTGGCGACGCAAGCCCACCGCTCGCCACCAGGATCACCAGCACCGCGACCACGACGGCCAGCCGCTGCGCCTGCATCTGGCGCGCGGCTGCGTCCAGCGCCGCGGCCCATACACGGCGGGCGTGAGCCGTGATGAAGGTGCAGGAGGCGAGAGTCCTCCTCACAGCGAAGGCGACGACGCGCAGCTGCACGATGCCTGCGCAGCCTCCGATGCCACGCTGGGGAGCGTGACCGTCCAGTTGCCTCCAACCCCGCGGGTGAGGCGGCAGCCGCGCTGGCGGCTGGCACGCCAGGCAAAGCCTGGGGCGGCTGGGGGCTCCCGATGGCGGGTTCCCGCGCCCCCGCGGCGGGCAATGGCTGCGGGGGGCTAAGGGGGGGCCACGCGGGGAGCCACCTAGGAGGGGGAGGAGGAGGAGGGGGAGGAGGAGGACGAGGAGGAGGAGGAGGAGGAGGAGGAGGAGGAAGAGGAGGAGGAGCGGCAATCTCTCCGACTGTGCGCTCGCCCACGGTTCCTGCCAGAGAACCACTGCGATGCGATTCCACGCGCACGCGCCGTGCGCAGTGCTGACCACCCTGCCAGCAAAGTGCACATGTGTTTGCCAGGATTTTGAAGGGGCCCCAGGACACACAAATAAATACACACAAATAAACAGATCCCCCATATCTTCCCATATTTTCACATATTTTCCTGGGGGTCGACGATTAATTGTGTCTGCGTGTTTTTTCCCTCCTGAGATTTGGACGCCCGAAATGGGTACCGAAAAAATGGGTACAATGCCCAACAGCAAATGTTGTCCCAAACCAACAGCGGCCGCTGTCGGGCAGGCGGCCATCTGTCTCAAATGGACACGGGCCGCGGCGGCGTGGACAGCGACTCCTGTTCAATATGAACAGGAACTACTGTTGGGCATTGTACCCATCCTTTCTGTACCCATTCCGGGCGTCCGGATAGGAACGTCTGGATGTCGGCATACCGCCGGATGTGCGCTGTCTGTGCGCGTTGCTCGCGCAGCCAGCGCGGCGCGCCTGCAGCACGTGGCACGCTTGGCGCATGTGGCGCACATGCGGCCTGCAGCGCACCATGCGCGATTGGGCACCTGGCGCGCGTGGCTCACGTAGCACGCGTGGGGCACCTGGTGCATTCCTTGGTTCCCAGTGTCTGTCCATCGGGTGGCGGTCGCTGCCTATGCTGAGTCTCGGGCGCTGCTCTGTGGTGGCAAGGTGGGTGGGAGCAAGCGCTCGCCATCGCTCGGACGTCCATTTCCCTTGTTTTTTTCGGTTTCGTGCGTAGTTGTTTCGCCAAATGATCAAGGATGATCCTCGATGGTTCTCGCCGATGGAAAAATGCGCACGTCCGAGCGATGCCAAGAGCGAGATAACTGGTGGTGCTCCGGTTCGGTACTTAGCCTGAACCATTATTAGTGTTACCTTTGCCCTTATCCAGCTCCGCGCGTACGGATATCATCTTGCGCCCCAAGGTGATCCGCCCGACCAGATAATGCGATGGGCGCTGAGCTCCCATCCGACTGGGCTTCACATCCCTATCGAATGATGCAATGCGGCGTACGTGTGCTGATCTTATGCTTTTCCAACAGACCCCAGTCAAACAAGACCATGCAGGCCACATGCGCGCGCACATGGTGAATCCATTCAGTAACCATTGGCCCCCTATCGCTGTCGGATGCCGTTCAAACAAAGGGCTTTCAATCAAGACCTTGTTCCATTTCCTGGTATTCCCGTCATCAACATCATGACGATCACCATCACCATCGGCATCACCCGAATTACAGCCGAAATGGTAAGATCTTCGGAACATATCGTAGCCATCAGCACCATCAGTGGTGCGCTTCCTACGTCCTCATCTCATCTCCAGCAGCCTCACCACAAGAGAAGTGGTGGATAATCATACCTATACGACCACCCTTCGGGTGATAAGGAGGTTCGGGGGGGGGAAACCAACGTCTCACTCGATCGGTCTCACTATCGATATCACTATCGATCTTACTATCGGTCTCGCTCGATCGATCTCACCCGATCGATCTCACAGTCGATCTCACTCGATCTGTTTCAGTCCATCGATCTCACAATCGATCTGACTATCGATCTCACAATCGATCTCACGATCGATCTCACAATCGATCGCACGTTCGGTCTCGCTATCGATTTCACATTCGAAATCACAATCGATCTCACAATCAACGTCATCATCATCATCAACATCATCGTCATCAACGTCATCAACAGTATCATCATCATCATCACCATCATCGGGACACCACCATCATCACCTCATCACCATCACCATCAACGTTATCATCATAACCTTCATCACCATCGGGGCCCCATCATCGTCACCATCATCATCATCATCAACATCATCACCATCATCGGCACACCATCATCATCATCAGCATCATCGGAACACCACCATCATCATCATCTCATTATCATCATGAACAACATCATCAACATCATCACCATTATCACTGGAACACCATCATCATCATCATGTGCAACATCATCATCATCGACATCATCAGCATCATCGGGACACCATCATCATCGTCACCATCATCATCACCACCATCATCATCATCGGGACACCATCATCATCATCATCATCATCATCAGCATCCTCATCATCACCATCATCGGGCCACCATCAGCAAAATCATCATCATCACCTCATCATCATCCTCATCCTCATCATCATCATCGGGAAACCATCATCATCACCATCATCATCAACAGCATCATCATCAACCTCATCACCATCATCGGGACACCATCATCATCATCATCATCATCATCATCATCATCATCATCATCATCATCATCATCATCATTTCATCATCATCATCATCAGGATCATCAACATCATCATCATCATCGGAACACCATCATCATTATCATCAGCACCATCATCATCATCATCGGGACACCATCATCATCACCACCATCACCATCACCATCACCATCATCATCATCAACATCGTCAATATCATCATCATCATCATCATCATCATCATCGGGACACCATCATCACCACCATCATCATCATCACCAAAATCATCGACATCATCATCATCATCATCATCACCATCATCATCATCATCATCATCATCATCATCATCATCATCATCATCATCATCCGGGCACCGACGGGACACCGGCGGGACACCGGCAGGACTCCGCGGGCCACCGGACGCCGGTCCGGAATCATTTGGTCCGGCCGCGCCTCAGCCGGAGGCGGGACACCGGCGGGACACCGCGGGCCACCGGACGCCGGTCCGGAATCATTTGGTCCGGCCGCGCCTCAGCCGGAGGCGGGACACCGGCGGGACACCGCGGGTCACTGGACGCTGGTCCAGAATCATTTGGTCCGGCCGCGCCTCAGCTACAAGAGACTTTCTTCTCGCCCGCCCACGCAGCTTCGCCTCGCCCGCACGCACGGCACGCACGAACACGACACCGAAATCGATTTCCGGGTAGGGGGGCTCTCCGTTCCACTTCGATCTCACCCCCTCACCTCCGATCTCATAGACACCCTTCGGGAGAAGGAGCTTGGGGAGGTTGAGAAACTTGCATTTCGATTTGCATCTCAATGACATTTGGAATTGAACTTCGTCTTTTCAATTCGGTTGCGCGTGGGTCTGCATTTCGAGACTCATTCCGATTGCATTTACGTGTGAATTTCGATTGGCATCCTGATCTGCATTCCGATTTACATGTGGATTTCCATTCCGATATGCATATGTGCATTTCGATTCGCAGTCTTTTGGCATCCAGAATCGCATTCCGATGTGCATGAAAACTTGCAGTTACAAGTACTGTCCGATTTCAAGTGGACTTGCATTATGATGTGCGGTAGATGTTGCAATCCTGTTTAAATTCCGATGTGAATTTCGATTTCAATTTCATGGACATATTATCATTTGGAGCCTACGTTGTATTTCGATTTGCATTTCAATTACCGTTTCGACTTGCAGTTCAACGTACGCTTCGTTTCTCGTTTCAAAATGCAAGTCGTTTACACATGTATTGGATGTTTTTCCACGGTGCACCTCACGGAACAAACACAGGATAGCCAGCAACACAGCCTCAAAACAACCCGAACGACAACCGCGGAACAACCCGTGGGACAACCCGCGGGACAACCGAGAGACATCCACAGAACAACCGTGGAACAACCAAGGCGAGGAACCGCGCAACTGGAGGGGAAACGTGTTGTACAAAAACAGCGAGACGCACAAGCGGAAGGATTGGAGAGGGAGAAGGGGAGGAGGGAGAATGAAGGGGAAGCCAATCTTCAAGTGAGACGCACGGTCGGAGTCCAAGCGTAAACATGGCATCACGAGAAAACGCTAAGCGGACGAAATGAGGAATCAAGCACCACAACGATGGAAACACATCGAACACGATACGGAACTGCTGCTAACATCAACCATGGCAACACACATCAAACTGCAGACCTGACACAAACAACGAGAAACCATGGTTTCTCCGTGCACCCGCTTCGCGCTGTCTCACCTCCTCTGTCTTTCCCTCCTCTCTCCCTCCCTCCCTGCATGCTCTCATCTCTTTCCCCCTCCTCCTCCCTCCAGGCTTCCCCCGCCCTCGCTTGCAGCCGTCGCCTTCTTCTCGGCGCTCCACTCCTCCTCGTACCGGTCGAAGTCCTGGGCAGCCGGGCAGCCGAGCTTGGCCGACGCCGGAGGTGCAGCGATGCTGGCGGGACGACGGGCCAGCCCTCCTCGTGGCACGCGGGAGCGAACGGCACCGCGAGCGACGCCGGGAGCTACGAACCACGAGCCACACCACGACCGACAAGCAAGACGACGCCACGCACCTAGGAACCCCAAGCTGCAGATTTTTCACCTCCCATGCGCAGCCTACGAGAAACGACGTCCCCCGGATCCGCCATATAGATCACCGTACAACATGCGCTACGCTACAGAAGTACGCCAGCCCCCCGGGGCACGACTCCACTTCTGGATGAACAAAGCCAATCGCACATGCATACCCGTTTAGTCGTTAACCGCTTATCGAAATCATGACCGATTGTACTATCGGGGAGGCCTTATAACCAGTTCCGCCGACATTGACATGGAGATCAAGGTGCCCCAGAAAGGCCGCGAGGGAGCCGAGAAGCGCACGAAGGCAAGTCGACGATTATCCCAGGACGGCTTGAAGAACACCTCGAGTCTGGACGAGGGACATAACACCGTGCTACCTAAATCGATGAGGCCTACGGCGAATCACCGCCACCCCCTGCCATTTGGAATCGCCCATGTGGCCAAGTGTTGTGGCAAGAGCTCTGCCAACCTATCGGGCCACGTGTTCCCCAATCCGTTGTGGGAACCCTTCGGGGAACACTTGGGGGATGGCGGGGAAGATCTGGAGGAGGAGGAGGAGGAGGTGGTGGAGCGTAGCCAAAGGAGTCCTCGATCCTCACGTACTCAAGCTCCTCTCCCGTCCCGCAGGCCTCCATCGCGCTCTTGATGAGGAGCGCAGGGTCGAGGAGCCTGCGCTGCCTCCCTCGGGTGGGGAGACGAGCCGCGAGTCGAATTGCCCCCACTATCGAGAGGGCCTTCTCGACATCGTCCCCTATCGAACGATGGACGGCGAGGCGATCGGAGTTATACAAGAAAACGCAAAAAGCTGGGGCTCCACGCAGGCCGAGCCGAAACCGACAGGAGCCAAGAAGCAAGGTCCTACAGGCCGTCGAGGCCAACCAGTGAAGACGCCGACACGGCCCCAGATAGTGGTCGACCGACTCGCGGCTATGGTCACACCCCAGGAGACACAGGGCATTGCGCTGCATGCGGCAGTTCGTGGGCCACGCGCCAAGCCACGCTTTCAAAATGATAAGGCGCCAGGACCAGGGGAGGGACTCGAGCAGCTCTCGGAGCCGCTCCCAACCTCTTTCCTCCACTGAGGGCGGGGGCTCCCCAAGCCACTTCAAAAGCCTGCGCTCCAGGGTCCGAAAAATCGTGCAGTCCAAAACTTGTGCTTTGGAAGAGCCTGTCCAAGCACTCGCTGCCACTTAGGCCTGCTCTCCTGGGACCCAGCACCGAAGATCCGCAGAGACTCCCGCCCCCCCCGCTCAAGCGACGGCCCCCCTCCCACCCGCGGCACCTGGGTCCCAGGGAAGGAAGCCCATGGCGGCGCGCCCCGTGAGGGCAGCGACCGAGTCCATCTGCCAGAACGGGGGACTGAAGGAGAGAGAAGACGAAATCAGCACTGATGGCGGGCCGCGCGTCTCGGCCACACGGCGGAGGCGTCTGAGGAGGGGGCCCCAAGCGCGCGGGGGGATGACGAGTGCACGCCGCATTCGGGCCGCAGCACAAGTAGTCACGAGGGGCTCGATGTTCCGGCCGCCGACGGCCGGCAGCCCGAGCCAGCCCGAGAGTCCCATGGCAGATGCGGTACAACGCCACCGACACGAAAACCAAAGACGTTCGGAGCGGGCCAGGGCCGAGGGACAGCCTGCAGGGGACATAGCAGCAGCCGAAGGGGCCGCTCCACAACAACAGCCCCCAGTGGGGACTAGGCGGCAGGGCAGAAGCAGGACGCGGAGGGTCGCGGTACGGCCGCAGAGCAGGAGTCGAAGCAGACAGACCCAGCACACAGGCCACAGGGGAACCAGGCTAAGACGCAGGGCAAGGACGGGGGCGCCGGGAGCAACTGGGCCATGTACGAGGCACACGGGGAGACGCGGGCGGCGTGCAATCTCAGCAGAGGCGTCGCGTCAGCCCCCGTCCGTGCCAACTCCCCAGCCCGAGAGCACATCTTTCTTCGACCACGGCGCAACCCAATTAGCGTCCAGCGAGGCTCCAGGGCCGAGGACAAATCCTAAATAGAGGAGAGCATCGGTGATCGTGAAGGCTGCCCACTCGGGGCATGCAGCTCTGAATTGACCCTGGACCCGGGCGGAGCGGGACGCCGAGAAGGGGCCACCCAGAGGGACCACTTTGCATTTCCGAAACGTCAAACAGAGACAGGCGAGGGACTCAATGACACCGAAGATTCGCACCATCTCCCCGGGCCTCTTCGACGCGCGGATTATGCTGCCCATGCCATTTGCGCAGCACCGCTCGACGCCGTGAAAGGGGGCGCTGGGCAGACCACTCCACGTCGGCGTAGAATACACTGGACGAGATCACATACACCGAGCCCGAGAGGGGACAGCCCTGGACGACGCCTGAGAGAATCCAATAGAGGACGTCCCAGGAGCCCGACGAGGCCATGAAGCACGGGTTGAGGCAGTAGAGGGCCTGGGCGCTCACCTGGAACCCACGGGGCAGCCGAGCCTGCCAGCCGTTCAGAAGGGCCCAGCGCTGGGAGACCGACGGGAACGCCTGCGAGAAACCGAAGGCGGTCAGGAGGGGTTCGAACGGGTCCGACGGCGAGTACCCCCAGTTTGCCATTCTGGAATAGGTGTCGAGGTCGACGACGTTTTCCAAGTGCTGACGGCCCTGAATAAATCCACGCTGCGCAGCAATTCCAGCTTGCCCAACCCATTGGCGGATCCGGAAGTTCATGAGAGAGCTCGCGAGCGTACCGGATGCGTTTTTCAAACCGAGGGGGCGCGCGTCGTTGCTGCGCCTCAGGATCCGAGCCCCGAGGATTTCCTCGTCAACCGAGAGGTCCTTCGGAATCCGCTCGCCCAGGGGGGCTCCGAACCAGGCAGGGGCCCCCCACCCCCCGAGCACAAGTGGTAAAGCATCTCGATGAGGACCCCAGTGCCCGCGCCAACAGCCCAGGAACAATAGGGGAGCCCATCAGGCCCAGGCGCGACTTCCACGACCTTGGAGAGGAACGACACCAATCGACGAGTGCTCGGGGGAGGGAGATCAGAGGCGTCGACCTTGGGGCAGAAACGAGAGACGCATTTTCCTGCCTGCGGGTGCAGCGGCGAGTCGCGCTGGAAGGCCGCCTCCCAGTGGCTGCCGAGGGCGCGGTTCTGCTCCTGCAGCGACGACGCACGTGTGGGCACTCCCGCAGCACCTGAGGCGCCGTCAGGTCCAGGGAGGACGACGCCCGCCAAACAACGCCGTCGACCGAACGGCGAACACAGACGAGCGCGACGCTGAGCAGCTCGACGTTGTGCCGCGAGCCGACGCACGTCAGCAGGCCGCTCCGCCTCCATCTGCGCCATCAGCAGTGCCGCTTCACGCTCCTGCGCCACCTGGCGCTGCAAGCCCGAGTGGAGGTCCCGAAAGAGCCCAGCGTTGAGCAGGGAGAGCGGAGTGCGGGCCATATGCGCATCAGACCTCCTGGTAGCCCGCGCCACACTCCGAGCAATCATCGCCATCTGCTGCTTGCCCCTCGGCAAGCGTTGGAGCTGATGGTTGCGGACCAGGCGAGCGGCAACTTGACGAAGTTTGGTGGCCAGCCACAACTCTCGACGAGCGACTGGACAGAGGCCAATCCACTCAGCCACGACGCGGGCAAAGATGGGGCCCATGCAGATATTCTTCGCGATCGTGCGGTCACGTTTGGAGGGCTTGCTCGTGGCGAAGGTGGGCACGATGGGAACATAATCGCTGATGCGCAGGCGGTGGAACACCTCGGGCTCGCCACGCGCGTGCATGGACTGGTGAAACTGGACGAGCAGCCGCGGCGGCGACGCGACGAAGGCCCGATCCACGCGTTTCGCGGACTGGGCCTCCTGGTGCCATCTCGTGGGTTGTCGATCTCAATTTCCGTCGTGCCCTTCCACATCTGCCGCCGGATCGCATCGCCTGGCCGCCCTTCCCGCGCGCGCCGAGAGCCCGCCGCGGCCGCGGCGCGCGCCAGGAAGGCACGCGGGCCACCGCCGGGGTCGGGCGACGAATTCGAGCGTGCAGCCGTCGAAGCCGCATGCGCATTCGACGCAGCCAGAGACCCCTGCGACGGACCCGTGGAGGACCCAGAGGAAGGCCCGCAGCTCGCCGAATATGCCATCAGAGAAGAGCTCGCAGAAGACCCAGACGACGCGGTACACTGCGGAGCGAGAACACCGCTGTGGAGCAGACCCCGAGATTGCACACTCGACTCGCATCATCCCAGAGGGGCCCCGTTGCGAGGGGCGCAAGGCGGGGGTCGAGCGGGGGGTCTCAGCCACACCCAATAATCCAGCAACGCCAGACACAGTCAAGGCCGAAGAAATGACCTGCGATGCACGCGAACTGCGCGGGAAGACCACCCGTGGAGTGCTTGGGCAGCCTGAGGGCCTAGCCGAAGCTGTAGTGGCCGACGGGGAAGACGACGGGGCCGTAGAAGCCGACGGGGTTGGCCGGCGCGAGCGGTTCGGGGGGGGGGGGCCGCGCCAGGAACAGCCGTCGAGCGAACCGCCCGCGCGTCGGAGATATTGAAGTCCCCGGTGAAGGTCTGAGCGAAACGCATCGGGTCGTGGAGGACAGACTGCCGCTGGGCACGTGCCAAGTTACGGGGCCGAAGAAGATCAGAGTGAGCAACGCCATGATGATGGGCACTCCAGCGCAGGAAAGTGAGGCCAGACTTGCGATGGCGACAAGCCGACGCCAGCACCCGTCCACGGACTTCACCGACGCGACGAGTCTCGAATGCATGGGACACGTGCTCAGGAAAGAAGGTGGCAATACCGCCGCCGATTTCAGCACCAGGAAGACCTGGGCAGACTTGCAAAACCTTCTGTCCAGAGCGCTGCAAAACTTCAGCAACGGCCTAGCCATTGCCTCGGACCTCTTGTACCGGGGCGGATAACTGAATTAAAGTGTCCGGCTTCCGAATAACATCACCCCCCCCCCAAAAAAAAAACAGGCAAACTATGCCGCCGCGAAGGCCGCCAAACAAATCATTGAACGCCGATGCCATATGGAGATATGCCCAAACGAAGCTGAAACCAATCAAGGCAAGAGCACAAATCGATGGTGAGGGCGTATCTCGAAATCGATGAAGGCCAAAAGCAAAATCGAAATCACCATCTAAAATGAGGCTTCGCACAGGGCAGCGACGAACTCAATGGAGATTTTCAATTTTGATTTCAGACCTGGCCCAGGCCAGCCCACTCCATTGATTAAAGCCTCCCGGCAGTGCGACGATCGACGAATCTGAGTACAAGGAAGTGGGGGTGGCGAGCTTGCGGGCGATGCCTTGGGAGAGGTGGCAGAGGGAGAAGCAGCTCCACGACGCGAAGCGCACCTCGTGCGAGCCCGTGAACGCGTTGCCCATCCCACTCGACCGAACGACGCTGGAAATGGTTTTTGACCAGGACGTCCAGGGGGGCCTTGTCCATGCGCAAACCGGCCAGTTTCGCACTGCTCCAGCGCATGCGGGGGTGCCTCAACAGGATCCATCTGCAGCGACACGAGGGGCCCCCACTGATGGCCGATGATGCCCGCATCCCGGTCCACAAATACTCGCACACCAAGATGTTCCGAGAGAGCACGCACCGCACGCTTGACCGCCATCTCTCGTGCCTGGGCATGCCGTTTCTCATCGAGACCGACGAAGAGCTGAACGGTGCGCCCGAGGGGAAGGTCCACCGAGAAACGCTGCCAGGTGCCTCGGTCATCTCGAAGGGCGCTGAACGCATGACGAACACGGTGCTCAACTGTGGCGTCCAGATCGCCCTTGAAGCGGAACATGAATCGACGTGACAAGCGAAGCCAAGAGCCAATCGCGCCCTCGACGCCAGAGAACGGCACCTCCTCCTTCGAATTGATGACGAGGATGGCCCGATCCACTTCACGATCCCAGGAAGCGGAGCGCTCAACAGGAAGACGGGGGTGAGCGCGAGCCAAGTCCAGCTGCTCCTCAAGGTGCCCGAGTCGCTCCACCAGGTCGTGAATCGTGATCCCTTGGGCCGAGGTCCTCTCGTTGACAGACTGAAGCTTCCGATACATCTCAGCGAAGCGCTTATCAAAGGACTCCTGAGTGCGACCAAGCACGGGTCTAGCAGCCGCCCCCGCAGCAGCCCCGAGGTGCGGGTCCAGAATCGAGGGGGGGGGGTCTTGCCCACTGCCTCGGTGATCGCAGCACGGGACGCGGCCTTGGCCTCCTCGGACCAGGACTCGCGCATGATGTTGATCTCGAACTGGGCCGCGGAGGAGGAGGAGGAGGAGGAGGAGGAGGAGGAGGAGGAGGAGGAGAAGCGGGAGGAGGAGGAGGAGGAGGAGGAGGAGGAGGAGGAGGAGGAGGAGGAGGAGGGAGGAGGAGGAGGAGGAGGAGGAGGAGGAGAGGAGGAGGAGGAGGAGGAGGAGGAGGAGGAGGAGGAGGAGGAGGAGGGAGGGGGAGGAGGAGGAGGAGGAGGAGGAGGAGGAGGCCGCGCCAACACTCGGGTCACCAGGAGCAGCGGGAGGCGCCCCCGACGCAGCAGGAGAGCCGTGCCCCCGACCGGCCACGCGAGGATGCCCAGGCCCGCGGGGAGCGTGCCCCAGCCAACTCCTGGGGCGGGAACGTCGGGGTGGCCCCCCAAGCCCTCCTCCTCCTCCTCCTCCTCCTCCTCCTCCTCCTCCTCCTCCTCCTCCTCCTCCTCCCCCTCGTCCTCCTCATCCTCCTCCTCCTCCTCCTCCTCCTCCTCCTCCTGCCGCTGCCTTCTGCCGCCCCAGACACTTCCGGCGGCAGCGCTGGCCTCCTCGGCCCAGGGGTCCGCCCAGGGCTGCGAGATCGCACAGAGGCGCCTGGCGAGGCCAAGGCGGCCGCAGCCGCAGCAGCGCGAATCTCATCATCAGGGGGAAGACGACTGCGAACGCCAGAGCGCGGTGGGGCGTCGCAGTCCGCCGCCGAGCCCGAGGACTCAGAGGCTGTACGGCGACGCCGAGGAGTCGTCTTGATGCTCTTCTTGCGAACGTCCCGACCCATAGCAGCGCCAAGTAGAGCGGAACTCGAGGGCAAACTCTTGGCCCCAGCAGCGCGCAGCTCGACTGGGTTTGCCTGAAACGGGAGCTAGCCTCGGACTTGAGGTATCCAGTTCCTGTCCGAGGGACAAAAACACCTTGAGCCAAAACGGCTTGAGCCAAAATAGCGACGGAAAGAAGAGGGAGAGCGTAACCAGGGGGGACGAGTCTCTCCACCTAGCCACTCTACGCAAGGGGGGCGGTGGAGCCTGGCCTGTCTTGTGCAGCAGCGGGCACACGGGCAGCAGCATCCGCCATGACATCGCATGAAGGGTTGAGAGCAGCTGCGGCGGCATCAATCGGCGAGGCATCGCCCACAAGAGAGGCGGGAGGACCTCGTGGATCGCGACATGTCGCAATCCACAAACTGAAATATCATTAAGCTCGAGAGGAGGAGGAGGAGGAGGAGGAAGAGGAGGAGGAGGAGGAGGAGGAGGAGGAGGAGCTTCCTGGGAGCCTCTTGGAGGCATCGTGGGGGCCTCCTTGGGTCTCTCGGGGGCCTTGGGGGGCTTCTCAGAGGCCTCTTGGGCCGTCTTGGGGCCCTCTCGGGGCCGTCTTGGAGGCCTCGTGGGCGATCTTGGGGCCATCTGTTTGGGGGGCTCTTGGGCCGTCTCGGTCCGTCGGAAGGCGAAAAGAAGCAAATGGCCAACATCCTCGAACAACCTATGGAAAATCAATGATCTTGGCCTCTTCGAGCCCTCTTGGAGGCCTCTTGGACCGTCTTGGAGGCCTCTTGGTGGCGTCTTAGGCTGTCTTGGGCCATCTTAGAGCCATCTTGGGCCGCCTTGGTGGGCTCCTGGCCCGTCTGATGCCGTCGGAAGCCGTATTGGGGGCCTCTCTGGGCAGACTTGGGGCCGTTCTGGGGCCATCTTGGAGGCCTCGTGGGCGATCTTGGGGCGATCTTTGGGTGCTCGTGGGCCGTCTCGGGCCGTCGGAAGGCAGAAAAAAAGCAAATGCCAAAATCCTTGAAAAACATGAGGACCATCAGTGATGTTGGCCTCTTCGGGCCTTCCTGGAATACCTCTCGGAGGCCTCTTGGGCCGTCTTGGAGCTGGGGCCGTCTGCCGGCATCTTGAGGCCGTCTTGGGCGAAACGCTCATTCCCATCACAAGGCGCTTTGCGCTCCAGTCATCGGCCTGACCTAAGGAACGATAAATAAGGAACGAAGCCCCTGTTTACCCCAAGGAATAACGCATAAGGAACGATCGATAACAAATCACGCATGAGGAACTGTAAATCACGCATGCAAGCCTGAGGAACGCCCGAGCCCCTTCTGAAGAGCAAGCGTTCCTTATTCGAGCCGCTCACTGTAGGATCCCCCCAACATGCGATTTTGCGAAGGTGTCCCGGACGAAACGGCCGTTTTTGGAGACGCGGGTTGCGCCGCGGCGCGGCCTTCCGCGTGGCTGGCGCGCTGGGTCGAAGCCCCAAGGGGAATTCTTTTGGGAACAGGAGCCACAACCAAACCGTAAGAAGTTCAGCACGCCAAGCACCCCTGTTTTTTTTTTTTTTGATCTCGAGGCATCTGCATCACGCCAAGCACCCCTGTGATAAATCAACAGGGGGCGGCGGATCTAGCGGACTTCGGCCCACCTGGACACTGTGCCTGGGTCGTTGGCCACAGGCGTCTTGACTGCATATGAGGGTCTCGGGTTGCCTCTCGGAAGTCCCTTGAGGAGCTCTCGGGGGCCTGCAAGCAGTCTCGGGAAACATCTTTGGGCAGGGGTCTCGACATGTCAGCTCCTGTATCGCATCTAGGGCCTCTCCTTGGACCCCGTTGGGCCGTCTTGGGGCCCTCTTTGGGATTCCTTGGGCCGTCTTGGGGCCTTCTTGGGGGTCTCTTGGATCCTCTTGGAGCGCTGGAAGACAGAAAAAATACGAAACGCTAAATTCCTTTGAACACCAGGCCCTGGTGGGGTTCCTCTTCGGGAGAGGAGTGGAAAAGAAGAGCGGGGGGGAGGAGGGGCGGCGAGAAAGACAAAGGAGGAGGGGGCAGGAGAGCCGTGTTACTCGGGAGGGAAGGGCGAGAGGGACACCTCCCCCCGTATGTCCCCCCCTCCCGACCCCCCCCCCCCCCAGCGGGGAAGGGATCAAAGGTAGGGGGGTTCCCTTCGGCGTGATTGCGACTTGAGGCGGTTTTCCTCGGGCTGGCGATTTTGCAACGTTCCGCTCCAGCTGGTCGCTTGGGGCGGTCTTCCTTCGGAGCTTGGGCTTCGCTGGGAACGCTCCAACTGCTAGACTTTGCAGGGGTCTCGCTGGGCGCCTCTCACACACACGCCGACAAGATCGGCGGATTCTGGCTTCGCGCATAATCCAGACGTTAGAATGAGAAAGCAAAGTATACACTACACAGAATTTCCCCCCGAATCCCAATGTGGTATGATACCTAACGTATAATCGCACACGCCTGTAGTTGTATGCACACATGTATACAGACATGCAAGACTGATATGGCGCTTCGCGTCATGTGCCTTTGTCCTGCGCGTCTCGCCTGCAGTAGGTATGAGAAAGAGGGGGAGAGAGAGATAGGGAGGTGGAACGACACAGAGAGAGAGAGGGAGCGAGAGACACAGAGAGAGAGAGGTGCACTAGTTTTTCTTGTCTCTCTCAGTTTGTATATATATATATATATGTATGTATATAGAACTGTACAACAACCAGTGCTGCAATTTTCGTGATCGTCGCTTTCCTATTATTGCTCCTTCTCCCGCTCCACATGTATATTCTTTCCGTTCTCGTGCCCGTCCTTCCTTGCGAACCGTCCCAGTCTCACCTTTTTTTTTGTTTGCAGAGGCTCCTTCTTAGGAGATTGTGTGGTGCTCGCCTTTTAAGATCTTTCAAGGGGGGCGGCTCGCGCAGTGGACACATACCCGTACGGACTAATCGGGATGGGTCTTAGGGGTGTTACAACATCAGCGATGCGTCTTGGGCTTACTCTCCTCATCCTCCTCCTCCACCTCCTCTTCCTCCTGATCCTCCTCCTCTCGCGCGCTCCCTCCTCGGAGCAGTTCCAGGGCACCGGGAGCAACTTCGGACAGCCTCGGTTGTAGTGCAAGCAGCACCACGCCCTGGAGATAAGCGCGGTGCCGAAGATGGACATGGAGACGGGAAAGGAGAGGACAGAAGGAACATTGTTGTGGGGCTGATGATTGGAAGCTGGCGTGATGGGTGGTGCGCCGAGAACGGCAATATGGACGGGATGGGGAAGGCGAGAAAGATAATGACTGTTTGGCGAAGAGGCGGAAGGACACGTCACGAGGAGGGGATGGAAGAAGGGAGAGGGGAGGGAGCATAGAGGAATATTCCCTTATCTTTGTTTTTGCAAGCCGGAGTGGGTGGAAAAATCACCCCCGCAAAAAAAAGTGTGACCTCCTGGATCCGTGGCCCCTGGGGCCCCCTGGACGCCACTGCAGGCAGCCCACCAGGCTTTTTGTAGCTCCTGGGAGCCCCTGCTTGGCCTAGGCAACGGGCCCAAATCGGTCAGAAGGGCGGCCGAACGGCCCCCCGAGGATCCCAAGAGGTCCCAGAAACCCGCCAGACGCCCGAAAACGACCCAGAGAAAAACCCCAAGATATTTTCGAAACGCAGAAACATTGATCTCCACTTGTTTTTGCTTGACGATTTTGGAGATGCTCTGTTCTTCGGTAACCCGAGAGAGCTCCACGGCAACCCGAGAGAGCTCCGAGACGGCACAACAGGGCCACAAGATGGCCCAAAGAGAGCCCCTATGACGGCCCACGACGGCCCCACGACGCTCCCCGAAACACTCCAAACCGCGACCGTCGTTCAGGGAAACCGCCGTTGGAACCAGGGTGGCCCGAGGAGAGCCCCCCAGAAGGCGCCCAAGAAAGCATGACAAAGTATCCTGGCGAAGGGCCCAACCATATGCAATTGTGGGTACCGCATTATGAATACAGCTTTCGGTGGAGCTCCCTCTAGGGCCACGAAAGGTGTGACGGGTGTGCCGAAATGGGGCGGGAGCGCCCTGCGAACCCTGCCACTGAGCTCCCCATGGAACCACGAAACATGCAAGAGGTGTGCCGAAACGGGGCGGGAGCGCCCTGCAAACCCTGCCACTGTGCCTTCGGTCAAACTCTCTATGGGGCCACGACAACGTGCGAGGAACGTGCCGACACGGGGCGGGGCCGCCATGCGCACCCTGCCGCTGGGGCCTCCTGCCGGGCTCCGCCCGGGGCCACGAGACGTAGGCGAGGTGTGTCACAGTGGGGCGGGGCCACGGTGCGAAGCCTGCCTCTGGGGCCTTCGCTGGAGCTCCGCCCGGGGCCACGAAGCGTGTGGGGGGTGTGCCGAGGTGGGGCAGGGCCGCCATGCGAACCCTGCCACTGGGGCCTTCGGCGGAGCTCCCTACGGGGCCACGAAGCGTGTGGGGGGTGTGCCGAGGTGGGGCAGGGCCGCCATGCGAACCCTGCCACTGGGGCCTTCGGTGGAGCTCCCTACGGGGCCACGAAGCGTGTGGGGGGTGTGCCGGGGTGGGGCAGGGCCGCCATGCGAACCCTGCCACTGGGGCCTTCGGTGGAGCTCCCTACGGGGCCACGAAGCGTGTGGGGGGTGTGCCGAGATGGGGCAGGGCCGCCATGCGAACCCTGCCACTGGGGCCTTTGGTGGATCTCCCCACGGGGCCACGAGAACGTGTGAGGGGTAGGGGTGCACCGACATGGGGCAGGGCCTCCATGCGAGCCCTGCCACTGGGGCCCTCGTGGAGTTTTGGGCCACGAACCGTGTGAGTGGTGTCTGAATCTGATGGCATTGATGATGGTGCTGCTGATGATGATGGTGATGATGATGGTGATGATGATGATGGTGATGATGATCATGACGGTGATGGTGGTGGTGATGATGATGATGACGATGACGATGACGATGATGATGCTGACGGTGGTGGTGGTGATGACGATGACGATGGCGATGTGCTGATGATGATGATCATGCTGATCATGATGATGATGATGATGATGATGACGATGATGCTGATGACGGCAGTGGCGCTGACGATGACAACGGTGGTGATGATGACGATGATGAAGACGATGCTGCTGCTGATGTTGATGATGACGAGGGGAGGAGAAGAAGGGGACCCAACACCACAGCCGATACTGATGATGATGCTGCTGATGAAGGAGATTTTGATCATGATGATGATGCAGATGATGACGACGGTGATGATGATGGTGATGATGCTGATGATGATCAAGATGGTGATGGTGGTGGTCATGACGATGATGGTGACGATGACGATGGTGATGATGCTGACGGTGGTGGTGGTGATAATGACGATGACGATGGCGAGGTGCTGATGATGATGATGATGATGCCGGTAACATTGGGGGGTGCAATGCCCCACTCTAGCGACAGAGGCACGCTGCCGCGTGCGCGAGGCGATCCGTAAGGCCACTAAGTTCATCTCATGCTGCCGTAATTGTAAGTGCCGGAGTGCGTCGCTGAGGTGCGAGTGCTTGATCTTGTGGTACGTCTCGTATGCGATGAAAGTTGTCTTGAGCTCGTCGGCCGTCTTGGGATTCAAGGCGAGCGTATCGAACCGCTTCGGCGGCGGGCGCTTCCCGATGAGGCTGCACGCGGTGGACCAGAGCGGGAAGCAGTCGGCGTAGTGCGTCCACTCGTCCCGGGCGGGACAACCGAACAGGCGCGAGTGAACGACGGCCTCGTGGAGGCGCGCTGACGTCGTCCATCCCACTATCCATGTCTTGAAGCAGGAGCCGGCGACCCGGGCGTGGCTCTTCTTCATGATGTTCATGAGGTTCGTGAAATCGATGCTGTCGATGTCGTCGACGGCGTCGGGCCAATGGAGACGTAGGCGGGCCTTGAGTGCATCACCTGGGGTGGTGTTGAAAATCACCCTCTTCACCGCGCGGTAGGCGGTGCGCTGCAAGCCGGAGGAGAGCCCTCGAAGAGGACTGTGCGAGCATGGGCCGCGCAGCGCCCGACGGAGGCCGACGGCGCCGGACATCAGAGCCCGACGTCGCCCGGCGGCGGGGCCCGACGGAGCCCGACGGCGCCCGACGGCTCAAAGATCAAGGACGACAGAACGGCATTGATTGCAGCGTTCATTGCCGCGTGGAGTTGTTTGGAGGTGCCGATCGCCTGCTCGGTGGTAATACGCTCGAGGGTCCAGGCGATGGCCGGAGATTTCCAATGCTTTGACCAAGGCTCCTCACGTGCTAAATTCCCAACGCCGCGCTCGAGAGCAGCCTCGTAGTCGGCACCGCGCAGGAGGTCCAGCGGGGTCTTCCAATCGTTGGCGAGGCAGGCTGCTCTGATCAAAGCAGAGACGAAAGCGACGGAGGCCGAGGTAATGTCGACCGCTCCAAACTGCGAGGCGCGCGCCATACCGCGCACTGTAAACGTGGACGGTGGGACGTGCCAGAGCTTATTGATGATGGCGCTCTCAGCTTAGAGGATCGTGCGGGGAGGGAGGGAGAACTGGGCAATCTACACCAACGTGGGGATCGCTTTGGTGTTGTACTCCTTGATCGTCACTGTGGTGGAGCCCTTCGCGAGCGCTATAGCGTCGGCGCGTTGCTGCCCCTTCTGCACTGGAGGGCCCCGCATGTCGTCAACGACGTTGGGGCCCATGGCGTAGCTGAGGTAGGTGGCGATCTTCGCGATGCCGAAATCAACCCAGCCGGGGACCATAGCCATCAAAGCGTCGCGTATCACCTCAACCACGTGGCAGGATAATGCCGCGTAGAGCGGAATCAGTGCGCATTTCTTGAGCTTCAGGCGGAGGCCTGCGCAAGACTGCATGAAGGCGAAGGTGACGGAGTACTCCCGGAGGGTGCTCAAGTGGAGGATGGCCGCGCCGACGTCGTCGGCGCAGATTCGCGCGGTGCCTAATCCTCGCAAGCCCACTGTGTGCTTCATGCGTTCGGCGAAAGGGTGCGTGGAGACGGCGTGCACGAAGCCGCTCAGAGGGCAGCCCTGGAGCGACCCCCCCTCGAAAAAGAAAGCAAAACCGCCCATGATGAAGGCCGTATTCATGTGGTAGATCATCGAGATGCAGGAGAGAATCCCGCTGGGCACCCCGAGTGCACGGAAGGAAGCCCAGATCCAGCTGTGCTGCCGGCGCGATGTCCCAGAAGGCTAGGACGGGAAGATGTCGAGCATGGTGCGGGTGGCCGTAGGCGCGTGCCGCGCAGTCGAGGTCAACGATGTTCTGCGTCAACTGGCGTTGCGCGACGAAGCCGCGCTGGATGGAGGAAACACCAGCAGTAGCGACGTCCCTCAGCATGATGTTGAGGATGCCGGAGCAAGTCTTGTTGTCCGTGTTCTTGAGGTTCAACGGGCGGTATCCTCGGGTTTGCGGATAATCTCTGCCGCGTCGCCCGCCTGGGTGCCTTTCGGGGGGAAGATAGATTCGGACATGTTGAAAGCGAGAGGCATGGCGAAACCAGCGCACGTGTGGAGCGTGACCTGCAGAAGCGTCTCGGCGCCCCAATCTCCCGAGTGCTCCCAGAATGAATAAGCGATGCCGTCCGGGCCAGGACTGGAATCCGTCGCAGACTTAAGGAAAGATTTGATGAGGTTCGCGGAGGGCGGCAGCGCCGTGGACCAGTCGAGCGGGGGGGCCCACTTGTCGAGAAAGGTCTCGGCGAGGCGAGTGTCCGTGGGCTGTGGCATGAAGTGCGGCGCCCAGGCCCGGGCGAGCGCCTGAGCTTGATCCTGAGGGTGGCGGATCAATTGCTCGCCGCCGAGCGGGTTGGGCGTGGCGAATGCACCCAGTGCCAGCTTTCTGGCGGAATGCAGGTGGAGCTTGGCCTTGTTCTTGACTACGTGCGCGCGTGCCCGGAGCCGCTTCGCCACGCCTGGGCTGTTGCGACCCGCGGCTTGGGCCTCGAGGCGGTCAGCCTCCGCGGAGGCCTCGGCAGCAGCGAGCTCGTCGAAAGTGCCCGCGAAGCGCTGCGGGTCGAGGAGGACGACCGCCGTCATTGATTGCGACGTAGTCGTAGCCCTGTGCGAAATTGGTGAGGACGGCCTTGGCGAGGTGGGGGTCGTCCTGCCAAATGGCACGAGCAAAGAAGGACATGGCGAATTTTTTCGCGAGCGCGACGTCGGGAGTACTCTTCAAGGTGAAATTGCGCACGATCCGGCCCGCTTCCCGGATAATCTCCTTGTGAGTCTGCCACCTCAGGACGGTGGGCAAATCAGACATGTTGATGTTCGTGCACATGGTGTCGTGGATCTCCTTGAAGAAGGGATGCTGCGCGACTTCGCGAGGAATGACTTGACGGCGAGCCGGGCGTGAAGCGCGCTGTCCAGTGTGCACCGTGACAGCGGCGTGATCGCTGACCTTCATCAGCCGGAGGCGCATCGGATCATCAAGCACAGAGACCGCGAACCTGACAGAGCCGATGGCCCAGGGGGGAATGGTACTAGCGATGCGGTCAAGACGGGCATATTTACCCTTGACGTAATGCGCGGCCTCCGAAGTCTCGTAAGTGGTGCAGGCATTGAGCAAGGTAGCCCAGGTAGCGACGTGCTGCGCCGAACGATGGCGCTCGGGGGCAAGAGGTGTCCTGACGACCTGCGCGCGGTCATCGGCGTCCAGGAAGTTCCATTCGCCGAGGAACCAGACGGACTTGAGGAGGGGGTGCAACTTCGCGTCGTTGATGTCATCGAGGGCGAAGGTCTTGATGCTGGCGAGGTCGGCCTCGCTGATGCGAAAGTTGTGGGCGGCGCAGGCGATCCAACTGTAATTGGCCGCGCGGGCTGCCAATCGGACAACGCGTTTCTCCGCGGGCATTTTACAGTCGGGTTCGGCACCAGGGAGTGTCCAGTCCTTGCGAAGAAAGGCGATGATCCCCCCAGAAGAGCTCGACCCCGGGGCACCGGAGATTCACCACTCACGATCGACGTCGGGAAGAAGAGCTCGAAAAGCGTCAACCGCGCAGCGCGCCTCAGCGATGAAGACGACGGTGGTGTTTTGAGGAGACGGCGCAAGTAGCTGATCTTGTCGGCGCGCTGGCGGGGGCCGTATGCGTAAAAGCCCTGGGCGTTCCAGAAGGCGAAGCCGACGCCATTAGCAGCGGCCTGCCCGGTCGGATCCCAAGATCTGTCTCCCATCCCACACAATGTCAGCGAACCGGCCCTTCTCGTAGTCAGCGATCTTGCTGAGGATGGCGCCCTTGTCAATGCCCTTGGACTGGCGCGCTGACAGGCGCCAATATTGTAGAGTGCTTCGCCGGGCTTGTTGCTGATAACCCGGGCGACCGGCTCGGAGTCGACGAGGGGGGTGCCATCGTTCCGTGCGAGGCGGGTGTGACCTTGGAGCTGTGGGTAGCAAGTGGCCGTTGCCTTGCGGAGCTGGCGTAGCAGTGATTCGTTTCGTTCCGTCTTGGCGTTCTTGTTCGGGCTGACGTAGACGTTGGCCTCGCCATTGCCACTGGCGGGCCGGCAGCGGAGCTTAGTCCAATCTCCGTTCTTGCGCTGAGCGTCGAAGGCGCGGGTAGCGTTGATAGCAGCGTTGACGCCGCTGAAGCGGACCTCGCCAAAGATGGCCGGCCGGAGGGCCTGAGATGACGGCGGCGTCGCTGTGCAGGCTGGCGTCTTTGAGGAGTTCCGCGGAGCAGGCCCAGATAACATCCTTGGAGGCAAACTCGGAAACGCGTGATGACGATGATGATGATGATGATCATGCTGATGATGATGATGACGATGATGCTGATGCTGATGGCGGCAGTGGCGCTGACGATGACAACGGCGGTGATGATGGCGATGATGAAGGCGATGCTGCTGCTGCTGATGTTGATGATGACGATGGGGGGAGAAGAAGGGGACCCAACACCACAGCCGATAATGATGATGATGATGATTCCTAATTCCTAATTCCTCGGAGCGCGTCCCTGCATCTGGGCAGGCCGCGACTCAACCACTCAGCTCCAGTCAGGAAAGGCAGCGCCTGACTTCGGCGGCAGGCCACGTCGAAGTCGGGGCAAGACCTCGCGCCCAGTCTTCGTGGGCGGGTGGCGCGCTTTCGCCAGATCTCGCGGCGCCTTCGCTGCGCAGAAGGCGCCGCAGGTGGTGCAGAACAAAGCGCCTCGCATCACAGTGAGGTGGTGCGAGGTGTCGCATTGATCCGACAACGGACGGCCCAGGGCGCCCCCGCGCAAGACCGACGGCCCTAGGTCATCAGGGACAGGCTCAGGATCATCGCGACCACTCGCAGGGCGCGCAGGCAGCGACTGTACACGCTGTTGCAATAAGCAGCGCGGCTTGCAAGGATCGGGCCCAAAATCGCGCAGCGAGCCTCGCAGCGTGAATCCTGTCGCACAGGCAGGGCATCGGATCACAGCCTTCCATTTTTTTTCTGGCTGATGACCTGCGTCCCGCAGTCGGCGCATTCGCTTGGCAAAACTAGTGGACTGCCCTCGCACTCTACGCGGCGCACGGGCAGCCCTTTCACGCTCGCCGCAAAACAGAACCTCCCGCTGCACAGCTAGGAGACGATAAAGCACATCTGAAGCGAGACGGTCTGCTCCCATGGCGCGCCTGACATCGTCGTCAGAAACCTGGGCCCTAGACGCTGCAGTCTCCGCAAAACGACCCGCGGCGCGATTCAAATAGAGCCCAGTGTCAGAGAGCAACATGATTCGGCGTTGGGCGCCAGTGGCATGTCCGTTGGTCCACAGCACATTGAGACTTCCACCGCGATTTCGCATGACAGCATGAAATCGGGCCCACAAGTCCTGCATGCTCGAGCGCTGTTTGACCTCCAGAGGCTGCCGAGCCCCTTTCACCACAGCTAAACCATCACAATGCACGCGACACTCTCCTGTACTGCTCAGCGCCAACTGGATAAGTGCATAAAGTTCGGCTCGAAGGGAAGACTGCCGCCTCGTAGGGAGCGAGCCGCGCACTACGCCATCATAAAGTCCATCAGGACCTAAGTGCACACGACTCCACGCACATCGGCGGAGCCTCCAATCCTTAGTACACTGACCCCCCGATCCATCGATCCCCCAGACTCCTCCGTGGATTTTAGAGCCCCCAACCCGACGGCCCCACTCCCACGCCCGCTCCTGGGGAGCAGGTAAATGGCCACAAGAGGCCCCAAGGGAAGGGAGACCCCGAAACCACAGACACGCTTTTTCATGCTCCGATCTCACCAACTCCGCCAGACGATCGGTGCGCTCCACTACCTGATCGGGGATGCCTGATTGCGCTCGCACTCCCAAAAGCGATGGGCGGGCGTCTCAACTGAGGCGCCGCACCTGGGGCACAAGCCCCTAGAGACAGACAGATAGCCTGCATCTCTCAATCCGGCCTCAGTCCAGTAGCCAGCAGTAATCACATTCCTCGAGATCCCTGCTGCCTCCACCTCCCCGTCCTTCTGGAGCTTAGCCAAGACCCTCTTCAACACCGTAAAGTCAGCCCCTCCTTCCAGTCCAGTTCCCATATAATGGCGAGCGGCCTGTTGCCAAGACAGCGCCGAGCATGTGTCCTGCAACTGCTCCCACAGGTCTGAGGGGAACTCATCGTCATCAATACGGAGTTCGCGTGCACCTGCACGCCACAAAACGGGAGAAATGGGCTCCCAACTTAAATCCCATAAGACAGCGAGGGTAGCGGCAATAAGTCCCCGATCAACCCTCCATCGGTGTCGGGCATAACCGAATGTTTCCTTAATACGTTCCCAAGTTTTACTGATCATCATCCTCTGGGAGTGGTCCAGGTGCTTCCAAACACTAACAAAGCTGAATAACTGCTCATACCGCAGCCTCAACTGGGGGTCATCCTTGGCAGTGCCCAGGCGTCCCAAGACCGAGGTGGTACACGCCCCCGAAGACCACCACCCAGAGCACATGGCAGCCTGGGCCCTCATGCTTTGAACCTGACTAGGCGTGAACCCCAGAACTTCATGGCCCCAGGACCCAACAGCCAACACATCGGGCTTGTACAAACGGCTGGCTCGACTAACCAGCTTCGTGGGGCATGAAACCTTCCGGGCCTTCTTGCGAGCCTTACGCTGCCGCTCCTTGACCTTGCGCGTGCAGCGCCTCTTTCCTGCCGTGGTCATGGCCCCCAGATCGCGCACAGCGCGCTCACACCGAAGTCTGACGCCAGCACTGTCCAACCGAGCAGTGACAGCTCGCCCCAAGGCAACACTGGAACACACCATGGAACTCTTGTCAGGAATCACTGTACCAACTGCTTCACTCTGATGATGTCGCCACACGGCTGCAATAACAATGGCATTAACAATATCATCCACCAAACCCTGCTGAGTTTGGGTGATGTCGTCCACGTAAGCCCTCACACGGACAGGGAAAAAGTTGGCATGCGCAAAGTCCAGCACGTCGTACAAATAAATCTTAACCCACGCCATAGACTGGACGCAACCTTGAAGCACCCCTACTCCAGTAGGAATGATATCAGAGACAAAACCCCTAACCTCCAAGATGCGAGGGACCCCATGCATAACAATTCCCAGGTACAGGAGGTGCACCAGGTACCGCATTTTCAAAGCAAATCCAGCCAGGCCACAAGGATCAACCGTACCAAAGAACTCCTCGAGGTCCCAATACAAACCAATATATTGCATGTTCATATACGAGGCAATCTCGTGCCCCACTTCACGCAACAGGGCAGCAACCAAAGCAGAGGACCCTCGAATGGCAGTGTCCCAGAACGCGGCACGCTCGGTGGTCCAGGAACTAATTTCTCTCCCTCGAGCCTTGCAATAGACTCGATACAAAGTTGCACATTTGCAAATAGGACGCTCCGCGTCCTTGGCCTTCGGGAGGGGAGAGATGATACCGAGCATGGTTTGGGTGGGCCACATCATGTAGCGCTCGCACTGATTGAGGAGCTCGGCATAGACCCCAACAGCGGACGGAGGAAGCAGCAACAGGGAACGCGGGGCCCAGTGATCAACCCCAACGGCCGTATCAGTCTTGCACACCCGCGCCGCTCGATGCACATCAAGCGGCCCAAGAGGTTCCAGATTCTCCGCCGCCGCCAGCGACTATGATGCTGATGATGCTGATGATGATGATGACGATGATGATGATCATCATGGTGATGATGGTGCCAGCAATGATGCTGCTCATGGTGATTGTGCTTATGCTGATGCTGATGATTGTTGATCGTTGGTGATCATGATGATGATCATGATGACGGCGAGGATGATGACGATGCTGCTGCTGATGATAATGATGCTGATGATGCTGCTGATGATGATGGTGATGGTGATGATGAAGGGAGAAGGGGGAGGAGGAGGAGGAGGAGGAGGAGAAGGGAAGGAACGCGGGGCACTGTCCTGTCACAACGAAACCCAACACCGCAGGATGGTTGGGATTTTGGTGAAGCCCCAAGGAGGAGCCTCCGCAAAAAGAGCTAAGGAGGATGAGGAATAATTCGTAGGGCAGGGCGAGAATGAGGAAGTGGAAGAGGAAACATGAGGCAAGGACAGAGACTAGCATTATCTTGACGGCTATGCTGGAACATGCAACAAAGAGTTATCGCTCCACTGTCTTTGCTTCCCTCCTGCCCTGCCGCCAGCATTCCAAACTTCAAGGACCAAGATGCATGACGCGAAGCGCAACTGCAGTCTAACTTGTGTATATGTAGATCGGCAAATACAGCCAATGGTAATGTTACAATGTATATCGGTGTGTATAATTTGCAGATGTACAAGATACATGTCCACATGTATACACACTTGTATGGAGGTATGATGAGGTGGGGGTCATGATAAACGCATCTATGAA